AAAAACGTTGAAACGTATTCTGCGAAACGGTTATGCAGAACCATACGATACGGATATCGGTTTCTATTAGGAGCAAATGCCAAAACCGATATTCGTTTTGTAAGCTACGGATTTTTTTTAGAGAGTACCAGTGATGTCTCTATATACATAGAAGCAGGTCCCTAAAAATAGCAGTTATGTATGATATACCTAGTGTTCAATAATTTAGAAGCTGGAGACTGATTATTTGCACAGGTTACTTAAGTACCTTTAAGTATGAGAGCTGATCAACAAAAAAAGCTTCACTATTTGCGCTAAAAGTTCATATAAAGAAGAATGATTAAATCTGTAGAATGTTTCACCTAAAGAAGAAAAAAAAGCAGATCCGAAAATTAAATTACATACATCCTGAAAATATAATTTCAACACACATATAAGTATATTCCTCACTAAAGGAGAGCATGAAACATGTGCTCTTTTCAAAAGAAAATATATTGTTTGATTCGCCGTAGTCTTCTGAGTATTCCTTTATAAACTCGAGAAAGTTCTGATGAATCAAAAACATATACTTTTCTTTTACATGCTGATAATATCTTCAAATCGATAATGTTGTCTAAGTATATTTTGAATATCTTCTATTTGCGACCATTTATCAAGCGGTTCATCTTCTTCGCAGTATCTCACATAGAGGAGGGCTGGAATTTTAGATTTGAATATTTTATTAAAAAGTAAATTATAATTTAGTTCAAATACATTGCTGATATCAGGATAATTTGGTCGAACAAATACAATTAAATTCAAATCATATTTTTCTTTAAGAAATTGAACAAGATTCATTAAATTTTGTTTGTTTGGGCTACGTCGACTTGGATGTTCATAAAAACTAGTCACATAAATACTTATTTGATCGATATATTTCATAATAAAATAGTTTTTTTGATTCAAGTGCATTAACTTCAACTACTTTTTGACCACATAGCAAATTTAATTAAACTTGATTTTTCAGTATAAGCGCGACCAACCATTAGTATGCGAGTTTTAGTAGTAGTAGTAGAAACAACATTAATAGTTTGTTTGAGTCGAGCATTTCTGCTTTGTTGTGCTCGTTTTTTAATTTTACTCAGAAGAGATTTGCATATTTCAAGAGCCAGTAATCGTTGTATGGACTATCGAGTATACTCATAAGTTTCATTTTTAATGGGCATCAATTTGATATATAATACTCTGTGATATCATTTGTAGTTTGAGCGGTATCTCCCTGGAAAAACATTTTTTCTGACCCTGTACAATCTTAAATGCTGGATGATCAGAAAGTATAGTATGAAAGTTCTGATGAATCAAAAACATATACTTTTCTTTTACAGTTTATTTTCTAATATATACTCTGATACTATTTAGACTTTCTTATAAGAGACACTTTTCTGTTTAAAGAATAAGAAAAGAACAAATTTTATGTTTTTATCAAATGTTCATCTTTTATATATTCAAGAACGAGAGTGGACTCACTGAAAATTTATTTCGTATTACACCAACTCTGCGAACTAAAATCACATTAATTAGAGAAGAACCATTTCCAGTTTTAATACTAGCTTAAAGTATACGACTTGTACATGATAATGATCTATTCCCTTGACTGTAAAGGAAAGGGTCTTATCGAGTTAAAATGCCTGTATGTATGTTTGTATGTTTGTATGTCCGCAGACTAGATACTAGCGACAGACAAACTAGCACAGCAAAAGTTGATTGGCTGATAATGATATGGAGTAGGTAGTTCGCTATCGGAAATCAGAAAATGAATATGAGCGACCTCTACGGTGATTCCTATTGGTCGAAAACATCGTTTCCACATTAATGGATGAAAATGATATGGAGTAGGTATTTGACTATGGGGAATCAGAAAATGAGTGTGAGCGACCTCTAGGATCGATTCTATTGGCATACACAGACATTTGAACATGGTGTGAAGGATATACATACACACATATTGAGAATAGTCCTTTAGCGAACACCGACCGAAGGGAGGTGTGAGCGTTGTTTGTGATTCAAAGTCATTGAAGGTCATGCGCAGATATAAGTTCCTGTAGACTAGATACTAGCGACACACAACTGTTTATGGACCTTTAACTGTCCCCGAACAAACGGTAATTTTTTATTTTCAAGCATCATATTCATTTCATCTCTATCTATTTCTTGTTTTCCCACTAATTCTGATAGCAGTATTTCTAATCGTTTATATATATACCTTTCGATGGATCTTCATCTAATTTTTGATACGCTTTTGTGTCTAATTTCTCCTTTATTTTCTTAATGTAATCCTCTACATTCATGACTACAACTTTTCCTCCTTTATCCGCTGGTATAATGATGATATTTTCATCTTCTTTTAATGTTTTTATCGCTTTTCGTTGACTTTTCGAAAGATTTTCACGTCTTCCTGTTTTATCAAACCCTAGCTGTTGTTCTAGTACTCTTTTCACCTCACTTACAATATCTTCTTTATCTCCTAAACTTTTTTTATATAACCCCATCTCCACCCCCGCTATCACTTTAGATACATAGGTAGTACTATTAAGTGGTCGGGTTGGGATGAAACTAAGTCCTCTTCTTAATACAGACCGCTCTTGTTCATTTATCTTCCTAGACGAAAAATCAACTACACTATCCTGTTCCACTTCTATTCTGTCACATGTTTCATTTCGACGTTGGACATTTGTGACTAGTCTATCATTTTCCAATTTTTCAATATATATCAAGCGAAATATTTTGATGTTCAATCTCGCCATTTCTAGCGGACATAGCTTTAAATGAATTTTTGCTGTATAACTGGGATTATCAAAAATATCCTTATATCGGATTAGCAAGTTATGTTGATGATATACTGTTAGTTTCAAAAATGGAGAAAAAGGAAATCCAGGAATTAGTAGCAGATCTAAATGGAAAAACGATTTATTTTATGAGTTTTTTTACCTTTGATGTCAGTGACGAGACCTACCTCATATTATAGAGCTCAGCACACTGAACCGAATGGTGAAAAGCGCAAGTCTCTAGCCTTGTTAGAAAAAGAGCTATAGCCA